CCCTTGCCGGTCCACCAGGAACTCCACCGTCCCGGCGTTTTCGTACCCGACCTGAAAAATGGGGAAAGGGGAGTTTGGCCCAGGGAGCAGCCACAGAGCTCAAGCCAACAAGACGGTTGGGGGGGGCAGAGGAAATGGGGGGGGCGGAGGTCAGTGTTCTGGGTTTGGAGAACCACCTCCATACCCATGAGAAAGCAGGGCAGGGCAGGGGCCACAGAAGGGAATGAGAGCCATCGGAGGAGGACAGACTGGAAGTGAGGAGAGAAATGAGGGCTTGTGTAAGAGCTGGGCATTTATCTCAGTTTCACTGCCGGTAGGTGCATTGGGGGGGGGGGAGAGATATCTTTCTGTCTTTCCTCCTAGGACTTCGTTTCCAGCCCCCTGATCCTCCTCGTTGCCCTGCCCTGAAAATGGAGCCGGCGGCGGAAGGCCTTCTTCAAGCACTGTGTCCAGAACAGGACACAAGAGTCGAGATGAGGCTGTATCAGCGCCGAACAGCGTGAGGCTAGAACTGCGTATGAAGCGTCACGTCCAAAGGATGGACTGAACGGGACTTTATGTGTGTGTGACCAGCCTGTCATGATTCCGCCTGGCACACATTCGGAGAGGGACCACGGCTCAGAGACCAGGCCTGCAGGGGCAAAGCGACGGGACAGGCCACCGCTTCAATCTCTAAACACGCACCCCCAAGCTCAGACCAACACCCCAAAAGAGAGAAAAAGGGGGGGAGGGAAAGAATGATGGGGCCCTCTGATTCATTGGCAAAGGCAGGCCTCGGTTTCCCCATCCTGGAGGATCCGCAGTGCCGCTCCTCAAGAGCAGCAGGACAGCCACTAAATCTCCCACGAGGGCTCCGTTCTATTACCACAGAATTACAAAAGCACAGCCTAAGTGCATAAAATGTAATAGAAGATTAATTTCCACAAAGCGAAAAGCTTTCAAGGCACTCGGAGATCTGCTTGGGATATTGAACCGCCGGCCGCGCGACCACCCGGAGGCGAGGCGGCCTCTCCCGGAGGCTCAGAGAAAGCAACCTGCCGCCCCGTGGAGCGTGAAGCTATTTGTGGCAGCCACGCTGGGTGGAGTGTGCAAATGGAGCCGGCGGCGGAAGGCATCGCTGGCTCCATTCGCACGCCTGGCTGCACTTCGCCCGCCCCCCCCATCCCTCCACCCAGCGCCCGTTCGGTGTGTGCTTGGCACGGAAGCTGAAAGGAAGAGGCGAGGGCTCGAGGCGAGGGCTGGCGTCCTTGCCCTGAATCACAGCTCGCAGCTGATGCGCCGCTTCTTGAAAGAGACGGGAAGCGTCACGAAGCGCACAGGCTGCGCCTGGCCAACAGAGCGGAAAATAATTTTGGCAAACACCCGGGCGCCACACAACAAGGTGCCACTTCTATAACCGAGGCCTCTCTCTCTCTCTCTCTCTCTGCTTGCTGTCAAACGCTCTGTTTTTGGCCAAGCACGCCGGAAAACAGTTGTGGGAGACAAGATGCGCCAGAGTTTTTTCCCTTCTTTCGACTCTACCGCGTTGGCAAGTCTGAGGGAATCAGTCCAGCCTTCCACCACCTCCTTCCTTCCACAGACGTAACTCTGCAAAATGTAGAGGCATCCTATTTTTAATTACCGCCCGTGGGCTCAGGCAGCCCACAGCAGCACGCGAAACCCTGGAGGGCCTGGCGGTTCTGCCCACAGAGGGAAGAAAATGCGGGTTGGAATCTCTACCCTCCATGAACTGGCTTCTCTGAAGATCCCTCGCTGCCCTCCCGGACGGAGAAGGGCAAACCTCGCTGAGAGACCGCCAGCCAGCCAGCCAGCCGGCCAGCCTCCCCGGTTTCTCAGCCTCGGCAGCTGCCAGAAGAAATGGTGGGCCTTCCCTCTGCAGGCTGGTGGGGAAACCCCGTCCTACGTGGAACGGCCCGGCGTCGTCACCGCCTGCACCGCAAGGCTTCGTTCTCATTTTTCCGTTCCCAGGCTCTCCAAGACCCCGGAAAGGGCTGCAGCGACCCCTTGGCCAAGGCATGCCTGGCCTGATGGCCACGGGCTTCCAGGTGCAAAGGTAGGGCAACAAGGAAGCAGCCTTCTCACACTGGGCTCTTCATGGAGGTAGACTGCCCCTGGAAGTGGAAGCTTGTACAGACTCCCTGCTCTGTGCGGGGTTCGCAGCCCTTCCTGATGAGAAGGGAAACTTGCAGGACTCGTCCTTTCTCAGACCGGTCACCCGGACCCTCGGAGACTTGAACGTGGCCCCTCTCCCGACCACGAGTTCACCATTGAAAAAAGGAGGAAAGAGACACGCCCCGCCCGGGGAGACCAGCAGCCTCGCTTTTAACCGGGAGCAGCCACGGCGAACCGAAATCCTCCTCAAGGAGAGTTCGATCCCTGGATCAGAAATTAAAAGCGGGAGGTGGAAGATATGGATTACGTGTCTGTTTGGGTCTTGTTTGAGGAGCCGGCCAGACAGACACAAAGAGGATAATGAAGCGTCGAAGTCATTACGGGTGTTCTGGCCAAGCAGCAAACCACGGCCCCGGCATGTTAATAGCCACGGGAAATACAAGGTGGCAGCGGCAGTGCCGTTTGCCAGCTGGAGGGGCTCCTTCGATGCCAGGCAGAGGCAGCCTGGATGCCACCGCAGGGACTGGCCCCACAGGTGGAGAGGCAAATGCCTTGGAGCCTCCTTTAGATCCTGGCTTTCCACTTTTAAAAAAGCAAGGGGCCAGACCTCATGGCTTCCTGTGCAAAGCCAAGCACTTCTGGGCCTTTGTGAACCTTAGACCAGGGGAAACGAAGCCGGAGGGGTGGCTGAGAAACGGCTGGCCTTCTGCAGCCTCTCCCTCCGTTCTTCTTTCCTCCTGCCAAGATCGGAGGAGAACGAAGAGGGCCACCTTGGGGGGGGGCGGCAGCCTGCCCTCCCTCGTGTGGTGCTGAACTCGCCTTTCCTCCACTGAGCTGCGAAAATCAATTTCCACCCCAGAGGTTTAACCGCATGCACGGCGGAGCTGCTGCCCTGGTGTAAAAATAGACGCCGATCCCTACCTCCATCGGCAGCTGGTTGTCACGTCTGACTACAGGGAGAGGAGAGGAGAGGAGAGGAGGGGGGCAGGCAGGCGGCTTGGCGGGGCCCAGCGCGAGCCGTGGGAGAGGAAAGGCAAGCCGAGCGCAAGCAGGAGGGAGCCCCAAGCAATGCGTTGCAGGCGACCCCCCCCCTCGCACGCTGCAGACCGGCGGGTCGAGAAAAGCAGTGAGAAAGATCTTCTCACAGATCCAGCCGCACTGGCCAGGGAGCCCTTCTTGGCTCAAATCAGGAGCCATGGGCTCTCCAAGCATCATCCTCGGGGCCCGGCCTGGGATTATCTTCTCCAACGAGCAGGAACTGTCTCCTGCTACTAACATCGCCCGGTTGAACAAAATCCGGGAGGGAGCCCGGGGCGGCTGAAGGGCGAGCGACTCAGCGAGTGCGCCAGGCGAAAAAACAGTTCCGTCTCCCCACCTGACCTCAAGCCCCCGTGGGCGCCCTCGGCCTGGTCGCTTCCCCTCTCTGCCCAACCTACCTTGCAGGACTGTTGTGAGGGGAAATTAGCAAAGAGGAGGAAGTGACGTGGGAGCTCGCCAAGAAAAGAAATGGCACATTAATTGCCCATTAAAAAACCAATCAAGCACCCTAGCACCGTTTTCTCCCTTTTTAAAAAAACTTTCTAAAACTAAGCTCCATGGTTAGGCCAAGCCAGAGGTTGGAGATTCAATTCCCCACCTTCCAGCCTTGCAATTCTAAGAGGAGGATGATTATCCTTCATGAACTGCTGGAGAGCTGTGGGGTTGAGCTCTCTGGCTGTGGAGCCACAGGTTGGGAGTTTGAATCTCCTGCAGTGCCTCCCGGGGAGGGGCTGGCCTGGATGATCCCTGAGGGGCCCTTCCCAGCTCCGCCGTCCTGAGACGAGGACCCTCGAAAGGGAACCAGGAGGAGGAGGAGGAGGAGGAGGAGGAAGGGCATCTCCGACCTTCAGAAGGAAAAACTCTCCAGAAGCAAACCAATATGGGGGGGGGGAGGAGGAGGAGGAGATGATGATCTCACACCCATTATCGGAGACCACACAGGAAGGTGAAGGACAAGAGAAAAACGCTCAGCAATCTCCCCCCCCAACTCGTTTGAAGCACAAGCCCTGACTGGCTAGAGAATAAATGGAAAATTATTGGTTCTCTTGTTTAACCAACAACAACAACAACAATGGACGGCAGGCTTATGACCTCCAGTCCTCCAGGCAGAGGGTTGTGAGGATGAACGCAGGTGACAGAAACCGCTGGGGGCTGATGGACAGACTGGAAAGGGCCTCCTGAGGCGGGCTTGGTGGCCCACAGGGCAGCCAGAACCCTCGTCCACGACTCTCCCCTCGCTACGGCCTCTCCTCCTTTTCCATCCCCCCAAGGGTGGACAGAGTGGGCCGAGAAGAGAAGGGGGGGGCCCAGGCAGCCTCCCTCTCTCCTTCCCCAGACGGAGCGTCCAAGAGGCACGAAAGCCCCTCTTTGGCCAAACCGGCCCTGCCGAGTCCTGCCACGCTTGCTCTGGAGGGTGCGAGGCCTTCACGGCGCCTCCAATCCTTCCTGACCAGAGACGGTGCCCAGTGGCGCTGCCAGGGAACAGGCCCCCACCGCCAGGCCTTCCCTCACACGCAGGACATGGCCGGAGGGCAAGGGAGGAGACCCGGCCCTCACACCCTTGTCCAGCTCTTCATCTCATGACGGGCAACAGTGGCCACCTCTGCCTTCCCAGCAGGGCCCCCCCCACGGAGTGTGTGGCCAGGAAAAGCCTGCTGGCCGGCGGGCCCGGCGGGCCTCCCCCTCCCCGGAGAGGGCCGGCACCTGCTCACCTGCTTGGCCAGCCGGACGGCGTCGTTGGTCACGGAAAAAAACCATAGTTGCTCCCTGCTGGCAAGACAATGGAGGCCCAGAAGCTCCTCTTAAGGTAGAAAACAGTGGAGAACAGTCTGGACTGGTTTGGTTTGAAAAGGTGCACATGAGTCATAGTGGCAAGGAAGGCAGTTTCAGACATTTTTAAGGACATGACTGGGCAATTGTGGCCCTCCAGATATTTTGGGGTACAACTCGCCAACTAGTGGTGGAGGGTTGCAGAAAGGACATTAAATATTGGTGGTTTTTTAAAAAGGGGGTTCCTGAAGACACAATAGTTGCTTAGAGGTGAAAATTTCAGGAGAGATGCATTTTAATGCAAGCTACAACTGCTAAAATGTCCTCCTTCTCCATATAAGGCATAGGTACCCTATCCCCTTATTTTTCTCATCATCCTAGTTTGCAATTGAAAAACATCCTAAGGGCCATATTTGCC